AATATTATCATGACTGGGTTGCTCATTTTTAAGTACAACATCAGCAATGTTATCATTCCTAGGCAGTTCACTTTCATGTTCAACATTAACATTATCATGAATGGCTAGTTCCGTTTCCTGTTTAACATCAGCAACATTATCATGAGTAGCTAGATTCTCATGTTCAACATCAGCAACATTTTCATGAGTTGCTAGTTCTTTTTCAGGTTTAACATCAGCAACATTATCATAACTGGCTAGTTCTTTTTCATGTTTAACATCAGCAGTGTTATCATTCCTAGGCAGTTCACTTTCATGTTCAACATTAACATTATCATGAATGGCTAGTTCTTTTTCGTGTTCAGCAGAAGCAACGTCATCATGACTGGTTAGTTCCATTTCATGTTCAACACTAACATTATCATGACTGACTACTCCCTTACTATGTTTAACAACAGCAAGATTATCATGAATGGCTAGTTCATTTTCATGTTCATCATCAGCAACATTACCATGAATGGCATTTACATTTTTATGTTGAACATCGTGGCCACTGGCAAGTTTACCATCAGTAACACTATCCTGAGTGGCTAGTTTCTCTGCATGTTCAACATCATCAACATTATCGTAACTGGCTAGTCCCTTTTCATGTTTATCATCAGCAACATTACCATGAATGGCAAGGACATTTTTATGTTGAACATCATGGCCACTGGCAAGTTTACCATCAGTAACACTATCCTGAGTGGCTAGTTTCTCCGTATGTTTATCATCAACAACATTATCATGAATAGCTAGGTTCGTTTCCTGTTCATCGTCCGCAACATTATTATGAATGGCTCGTCGTGTTTCATGTTCAACATCAGCAACATTATCATGAATGGCTAGTTCTGTTTCATGTTCAACATCAGCAACATTATCATGAATGGCTAGTTCTGTTTCATGTTCAACATCAGCAACATTATCATGAATGGCTAGTTCTGTTTCATGTTCAACATCAGCAACATTATCATGAATGGCTAGTTCTTTTCCATGTTCAACATCAGCAACATTTTCATGAGTTGCTAGTTCTTTTTCATGTTCAACATCAGCAACATTATCATGACTGGCTAGTTCATTTTCATGTTCAACATCATCAACATTTTCATGACTCGCTAGTTGCTTTTCATGTTCACCATCACCAATATTTTCACATTCAACATCAGCAATATTATCATGAATGGCTAGTTTCGTCTCCTGTTTAACATCAGCAACATTATCATGAGTAGCTAGATTCTCATGTTCAACATCAGCAACATTTTCATGAGTTGCTAGTTCTTTTTCATGTTCAACATCAGCAACATTATCATGACTGGCTAGTTCTTTTTCATGTTTAACATCAGCAACTTTATCGTGACTGGCTAGTTCTTTTTCGTGTTCAACATCTCCAACATTATCATGACTGGCTAGTTCTTTTTCATGTTTAACATCAGCAACTTTATCATGACTGGTTATTTCCTCATGTTCAACATCTCCAACATTATCATGACTGGTTAGTTCTTTTTCATGTTTAACATTAGAAACATTACTATGTCTAGCTAGTTCATCCTCCATTTCAATAACTGTAACATCTTCAACAGGTGTGATGTCACTCTCACTTTCATGATCGGTTTTGTCAGCAATGTTTCCAAAAATTGTCTCTGTATCTTTGGTAAAAGTGTCAACAAAATGTGCATTAGAAGCAATGTCATGTTTCTGAGGATCATTCTCGGCATTCTCCAACAACAGACTGCTAATATCACAACTCTCATCGTCATCAATTAAAATGCTACTGTTCCTCAGATGTGGTAGTCTTTCATTCCTAGTAAGATCAATATCTAAAGCAGTATCTATCATTACACTGACATAGTCCAAGTCATCGTCCGAGTCTGACAAGATTGGCGACAATGGCATTATTTGCGACGGCAACTCAGTTGCTGAAAAATCAATCACTGACTGAAGCTCAGAGAAAAGACGTCTTTTCCCATCTTCAATGACATTCACATGACCTCTAGCTTCTCGGCGGAGGGCAGAATTTGTCCGGGTGAGGCTTTGTAGAGCCCTGCTGGCATTATGTACTTCATACTTTTCAAGTTTTCTTTTCACCATTGCAAGCTCATTCTCCAACTGCTTATTATTCTTTTTCAACTCTTGCACCTTATTCTTGCTACTATCTAGGTTAGCTTTGAATTTATTCACAGCCTTCTCCTTTCTTGCCATCTCAACTCTATTTTTATCTAATTCATCTTTAAACATCTGACACTTCAGTTTCATCTCAGCTTCTCCATCTTCCTTTTCCTGCAAGCTGATTTCCAACTGTTGAATCAAAAGCTTACAACCCATATGCTCATTTTCAATTCTTGTCTTCTGTTTCGCTAATTCAGTGTTACTGTTTTGAGCAAGCTGGATTTCTTGTTTCAATCGTCCGGTCTCGACTAACATACTCTCTAACTGAACTTGGAGTGCTTGACAATCTCTCTCTGATGACATCAGCTTGTTCGTTGCGTCATCCAGTTTCTTACTCTGCGCATCATACTCCTGACACTTACGACTGTACTGCTTGATCAATCTGTCCGTGTTGATGATTTTTTGTTTTACCACAGTACAGTTTAACGTTTGCTCTTCTCGAACTCTGTCTAGTTCCCCTCTCAGTTTTTGACAGTTATCACACCAGCTTGTGTCGTCTTCCATCACGACTGCTCCCCACGTACTGGTCACTTCAAATTAAATCCAAATACATTTTGGTGATGGCGTCATATTTGATAAACCACTGCACATTAACATTTTGATAGATAGGCTATAAAAAAGGGAGAAAAAGAAAATGTTAGAAATGAATACTGTATTACCAAAAATGTATTCATAAGATAAGGGTATGTAACTTTCATAACCATGTATGATAAAACATGTATGCCATGAAGATCTCACAACGAATGAACTCTCACAGTTTGAAAGCATTCATATTCCTTGCATGTCAATCAAATCTATTTCTAACCAACAGCATCCCAGAATGCAAAGGTTTGATTACAAAAAATGAGATTTATCAAAAAATCCAAAAATGTATTACACACAAATGTGCAAAGACACTTAACAGTATCTTTACTAATCTGCATAAAAAATTTAAAATGGAGGGGATTTTGTTATAACGTAGAAAGTAAGGCTTTGAATTATCTGTCAAGGTGAAGGTTACAAATTCTTGTCCCAATGTTACCAACAAATTTACAAATGATACCAGAATAAAATTTAAAATGTGAATGAAAATTATATCCATTTGTTCCAAATTAACAAAGAAATTATAGATTGTTATTATTGTCGGCTGAGATAGCTCCGCTGTTACCAATGCACATTTCAATTAAAGAACTGAAGATATCATCAGAAAATGAAGAATATGTATAGTATTAAAGCAATCAGACTTGCTGTTTTCAACAAAAATTTGAAAATATAACTTTTTATCAAAAATATTCATTAAAATTATCACGAAATGAACAAATCTGAGAGAAGTCCACCTGTAGTACCTATGTAGTATGTAATATCAAAGCAATTGGACTTGCAGTTTTTAACAAGAAGTCGCAAATATCACTTTTTACCAAAAATGACAAAAATATTCATGAAAATTAGAGAATTAAAGATACCATCACAAAATGAACAAATCTGAGAGAAGTCCACATGTAGTACTTAGAAATGTAATATCAAAGCAATTGGACTTTCGGTTTTTAACAAAAAGTCAAAAATATCACTTTTTACCAAAAATGACAAAAATATTCATGAAAATTAGAGAATTAAAGATACCATCACAAAATGAACAAATCTGAGAGAAGTCCACATGTAGTATCTAGATATGTAATATCTAAGCAATCGAACTTTCGGTTTTTAACAAGAAGTCGAAAATATCAGTTTTTACCAAAAATGACAAAAATATTCATCAAAATTAGAGAATTAAAGATATCATCACGAAATGAACAAATCTGAGAGTGGTCCACATGTAGTACCTAGATATGTAATATCAAAGCAATTGGACTTTCGGTTTTTAACAAGAAGTCGAAAATATCACTTTTTACCAAAAATGACAAAAATATTCATCAAAATTAGAGAATTAAAGATACATTTGTATCATCACAAAATGAACAAATCTGAGAGAGGTCCACCCAAGGTACCTACAGTGCATACCAAGTATCAAAGCATTCAGGCTAGCAGTTTTCAAGAAGAAGTCGAAAATAGCATTTTTGACCAAAAATTACAAAAATAGTCGCTATAAATAAGACAATTGAACATATCCACACGAAATGAACAAACCAGAGAGAGAACCACCCAAGGTAGCTTCCTAGAAAGTTTCACATCTATACAGTTTTTGGTTTTTAAGAAGAAGTCGAAAATGTAAAGTTGACGACGACGGATGCCGACAGACAATCAGTAATACTATAAGCTCCGCTTGACTTCGTCAACAGCGGAGCTAAAAATGTTACATTAATCCAAATCCGATGTACATGTGTCTAGGTACATGCACCGGTACAAATAGTCATTGGAAATATGACCATTAATTCTATCTTGAGATTAAGTATCTCATTGGTAATAGATATATTTATACTTCTTGTATGAATTAGATTTAATCTTGTGTATATACACTTGAGTAGCATACATGTACTTAGCAACTTTTACGGAACATCTGAATCACAGACAAATTTTGACTCATTTTCAGAGTTAAAAAGGTTTGCATGTACAGAACAGTGGGAACTTATTGAGCTACTATCAGTACTTAAAATCTAACGAAACAAAATTGCTTGGCTCACATGCTTTATTATTGGAGATACACTTCTAATAGCAAAAATACAACATTCAAAACATTTTACTAGTTATAAATACCGGTCAATGAAGATGATTCAGATGACATCATTCAGATGATTGCCACCAACTTTTTCTGCAAACAACATCTTCTTGACAACCAGTGTGTTTTACTTTGCAATTTTCGCAACTTAGTAGATATTAAAAACAGGCATTTGCTACAGATCATGAAACAGTATCTAATTCATTAAATTTGTAATAACCAACATACACATACCTCTCAATGTGATAAAAAGATTACTCCATGAACAGATGCAATATTTTACTTGACACTAAAATCATTCCACATAATTTGATATTATGAATTAGTCTTTCAGACTAAAAAAAAACAGAAATGCATAGAATGTTGATAATATTTCAATAGCCAGGAGGGTCTTAAATCTCTGGGCAGGATCCTCCCCAGAGAATTAGGGACCTCCTCACAGTAACAAAAATGAAAACAACACAGCTAATTTTGAAGGGAACTAAATAGTATTTGCCCAAATTTCCCCCAAAATATAAAAACAAATCAACCTTAAGACTACATATGACTACATATGTACTGGAACTAAATTTTTTACTTATGATAAAACATTTTTACAATACATAATATGCTAATTTCTAAGGCAGAGCAACAGTAATAGCAACAATAGCCAGGGGTGGTTAATGATAGTGATACAGACCCAGGAAGAATTATCCGATATTATCTAGAATTTTCCCACCATTCTGTGAGTAGACCCCCCCCCCCTCTAACAATTATCTAATTACCAAGCCAAAGAAATTTACAGGAGATTACCTCTTGTCAGCTTTACGGTTGGGGACGAACAAAAGCATAGTTAGGCCTGGTTTGTTCAGAGCCGAAAGAAACCGCTTTTTCAAACACTTGTGAATCAATATATTCTCAATACATTTCATATATTATACGTTTTGAATCTAGATGACAACACCTAAATGTTGGATTGGATGTCACTCAATTTCTTAATTTTCTGTCACTTTTTGTTTTTTCTTGTCCGTTTCATTATCATCAATTGTAATGGATGTTAAGTGATTAAACATGTAAACTCATGGAGTCTGCCGAACCAGAAAACATGACTGGTTACCAGTTTGCTGTATTGCACATGTTCCTGTTTCTGTACATGACACAACACATATGTTAGAGTGACAGAGAAGGTCAAGACCTACATTCCCTGAGAAACAGGTACATTCATATAAGGCAACCGTTCACACACATGTTTCGACAAAAAAAAAATCAATCTTTGTCTCGAGCATGTGCCGAGATTTGCTGCCTGAAGGCTTGGCCCAAACCGGAATTCTGACTTCAGTGGTGAGTTCAAGAGAACATATACTGATTCATACCAGATAGTATGACAAGACGATGGATGGAAGTGCAGCTAGTTACTGGATACTGTAGTAATGAAATGAATGCAAACCATAGTCAGCGACGGATATACTCGCAATACTACATCGATGTAAAGAATATTTGTTTTTTAAATCTTCTTTGCCAGTTATGTGCACGATGACTCATAAAAATTTCAATATAGCAATTATTATTATCATCATAAGCCCTCATTTTCCATGTTTGGGTCAAATAGAAGATCGAAGAATGAGGGTGTGATGCACAAGCCAAGTGGGTCACAAGTGGGTCCCAATTAACATGTGCACAACTGCAGTAATTCCTCTCCAAACATGAAGGATTACAAATTTTGGCATGTGCCGAGAATCATCCTATAAAGTGAAAGTACAAGTGTAGTATAAGATTCAAATGTATAAACAACCACAAAGTGTAGCTTCTCCTGGACATACGTGTTATCCCTTCTGTAGTGTTTGTACACTGATGACTAAACATCATCATGGAGATACATCAAGAAACATCACACCGTAATAATTGTACTTAGCCATGGTAGATTTGATTTGAATCCAGTCACGTGCAGTTTATGCTCCAGTCAATATCAACCCTGAACCCTCCACCTCAGACGATACGGGACAAATGTTGGGCATTAGACGAGGTTTACCGCTAAACTGTGCTCGTGGAGGTGTGGTAATAGCTGTGTTTCGTGTCCTGTCATCGTTAGCTGCGCATACATTCACTGAGTACTCAGCAAGCATGGCGGACAGTGGCGTTCCCCAGGGTTGAGGGTGGGGGAAATGTGGGGGGGGGGGTGTTTTGGGTGGTGATTTGCCTGTCCTTCTTGCCCCAGGAGGTGGGACATTTGGCAAATATTACAACAATAATTTCCAAACCCGCACTAAACCCTGAGGTGGGGGTTGACATTGACTGGAGCATTAGTATCAGTTATGACCGCACAGTGTACATGCATAATATTATTGCATAATTATGATAAATACAAACACGCCTACTTAATACTAGCTGGACGTATAGCGATTTCTCGATCTGGTGAACTAATTGACAATGCCCCTTGAGGGTTGTCTGTCCGTATGATACTACCTCCCTAGCGATACATCCATGTACGTACCTAGGGTTACACACTACTCGTACATGTACTGTGTGCCAACCCAGTTGTAAATCAAACGCATCTAATCAAGGTAAAAAAAAAACGTAGAAATAAAAGCCACTGTATTCCACTCCGGAATGAACCATTAACAACGACAGGAAATGACCACTGGGAACTACCCCTCTAGCTTGCTCAAACGTAAATGCTACGTAGTACTTGTAGTCCGGGCGACAATGATTGAATAAACACGTTCATCTGAACTAACGTTGAATTATCAAAAAATGTGGTACCATTTACCAATAAACGATAAACAATAATAAGCTCTGATATGCATAGTTACCTGTTGATTACGTAACAACGACGGATTTCCCGTGGAAAGGGATACATAAGTGTGAAACGCCCGGCGTTGTCAATCGCACACTGCCAAGGGAGCGGCCATCTTGTGCTTTGTGGCCCATGACCTCGTAACCTTCTGTAGTCTTTTACATTTTAATTTCAAGTAGCAGATAATTTTATTTCTTTAAGTCAATTTATAACTGTAGTATCTTATGAGTACATTACTAACCTATTATATATATGGTTATTATCATCATCTATAGGCGTTTTATTTTAGTAAATATTCACATCATTAGGTGTATCTTCTTGTACGTTGGGAACGAGGATGTCATTTTGTGCGCCGTATTTGTGCGCAGTGCGACCTGTGAACCACGAGTTTTCATTCAACGCGGAAAACGGAAAAAGGTTGGTAGATTAGCTTCGTTTCTTCGAGTAAATGATTGAATTTCACATTTTGTATTGTTTTTAAATTTTATATGACATCAATTGTGCATCTGCGGGATAACTTGCAACGACAAAAATAACTGTTACGGCCATTTGGGATAATCGTTCACACAGCTACTGAGGAACATTCATTTTCGTGTGAAGGTTGGGACTGGGACACCTCTACAAGACGTTGAACATGTTATTTCAATAGGAAGTTTAGTTAACTTCGGAATGGCGTTCTAATTATCGAACATGGGAATAGGCTCAGTTAATAATAACAGAAACACTAAAAAATTGCATTCAAGCTAAAACTTTAGGAATATATCCCAAGACAGTTCTATGTTAATTGTTGTTTTATTCACAGCCGTCAAAGCGAATATTATAATTTGGTTTTAGGTTACTCACTAAAACAAAACAAAACAGATATTGATTTGTAACTTTGATTTTTTTTTAGATTACTTGCATCTCATAATAAATCTAGTATTTATCAACAATGTTTGTTTGTTTTGATTGCAGATAGGCAAGGTGGAAATACATCACACTGTCTGCAACAACATAAACGCAATAATAAAACGGTTCACAAAAGTGTTGTATTACTATCTGTGTTCAAGAAATAGTCGTAACTATAATTCAAAATGCCACCACGAAAAATCAAGAGGGAGGTCCTAAATGAAACGATTGAAACACAGCCTGCTAAGAAGTCAAAAGGTAAAAACAGGGAATTTTTCTTTATTTAAAAATACTTAACTTCCAATCAAGCAAATGTACTTGCTCTGCCATATTTGCTCTAATAGAAGTACACATAAAAAAAATTGCATTTTTAAATAGTTGATTTTTAAATCTGTCCTACTGTTCTTGGCGGCCAGGGTACTCAGCTCACAAAATCATGTTTTTTGGGGGTGAAACGCTTAGTCAAGCGCCCCACTTGAAAAATTGACTATTGTTGGAATTGATTTTGGCATACATGTATACTGTAAAATACTTTATTTTAGCTGGAATAAATTTTCGCTGAATGACATTTTGGGGGTTTTGTATAGAATTTATTTTCACTGATTTTTGGCAAGTTGAATGTTTTATATAGTTATATATTTATATAGTAAAAAGTTGTATTCGCTGGATTTCATTTTCACTAAATCATTCTTTTGGCAAAAATTAATTCTAAGTGAAAATACATTTTACAAATAGTACATGCAAGTACATGCACTGATAAAATAGCAAATACAATATTATAATAAATACCTGCTGAAAGCCTCGGCAAAAAGCCAAAATGAATAGGAAAAATGTGTTTAATAATAAATTTGTGCAATAATTTTGGTTCAGTGAGTTGGTTCTATTTCACTGTGCTACACTGTTGGCATAAGTGACGCCCTCGCTGGCTGAATGGCGTCAGACCCAACTAACACCTGACAGAATTGTGTATGTTTCATCGGCAAGATCAATACTGCGAATTTGCAAAGTTTACACCTTCTTGCAATGAGTTTCAATAAATATTCATTTTCGTGGTGATGGTGAAACAGTCAATCATAAAATTAAGGTTCTTGCTGAGTGAGTGCCACTAAAAACTTCAGAGTGGATTAGATAACGGAAGTAAAAAACGTGCACGTGAACGACGCGTGGCTGCAGCAAGAAAGAGTCACTGTGCTGTTTTTGCAGTCCACGAGCAGCAAAACTACCACCGTGAAAACAACATTCGAACCCTTGATCAATCAGACATCGTGTGCTATATGTGACGTACACCTTGCCCAACCAAGAAATCAGCGTGCAATTTTCTCCAGCACATCCGCTTTGTTTGCATTGTCAACAAGATGATAAACATTGGATGGAAATTTACCAGCACCTTATCGCACATTATGTCAACAAACAAACTCTGTCGTGAATGGTTACTCATTGACGTTCTATTTGATTGGTCAAAAATTCATTGGAGTGAAAAAAAATCGCTCTGTCAGGCGTTTGTTGGGTTTGGAGCACCACGGAGGGTGCAAGTCTCGTGACCTTGTTAGGCTACTGATCATACATATATTTTGCAATAATGTTGTTTTGCTTCGTAACACTTTTGTGACGTTTTTATGTATTTTTTTTCAGAAACTATTTTAGTGAAAACACAATCACATGTGCACAATGCTATCCCAAGTAGATACAGGCTAATACACTTAATTTAACAAATCTAATAATGACATTCTTCACTTGACTTTGACAGTTACCGTCTCACATCCAAGTCACTGTACAACACCAGGTGTGGTGCTAACGCTAGGAGGAGGTGATGTTGGACAGCTGGGATTAGGTGACAATGTGATGGAACGAAAGAAGCCAGCCTTAGTGGACATTCCTGAGAAAACTGTACAAATAATAGCCGGTGGTATGCACACAGTGTGTCTTACAGAAAAAGGAAAGGTAAAAAAACCACGACGTTCATGAAGTTATTATTCAAAACTAATGTTGGACTTGGCACAAAGAATGTGTGCATGGTACAACAAACAAAGACTATCCATTAATTTGAGCTGGCTTGCATATGAACACAGATCAAGACTGTTTGCTAAATAATGAATTTTTAGGTGATGTGTCAAAAAGAATCCTACACACCAAGGGCCTGGTGAGAGAAGTCTCACACGAGCCCCAAATCAACTGATGTGAGAAACCTCATCTCGGAGCCCTTAGGGATTTTGTCAGTGTTATTTGAAGCTCACTATTAGTTGATTTTCAGTCAAATTCTAATCATATAGTATTTGGAAATGCGTTATTCTCTTGCAGGGAGTTATAATATTATAGCATGCAAGAATGTTATATATGATAAAGATTATGCACTAATTGCAATATATGTAATACATGTACTAATATTATGTGCGTTTGACAATCTTATTTATTTAGCAATAGAACTTTTCCGAGCACCCAATGTGTTCTGTGACTATTGATTAGAACAAAGTCTGATCAACGTGCAGCGATGTAGAAATCAGCTGGTAACAAGTCAAAACGACCACATTCTTACTTGAAAAAAAAACTTGCATCACTGTGATCCTGTGATATTTTCTTTTCATATCATTTGTACATAGTTATAAAAGTTGTATACCGTTATCTTGGAAATCCTTTTCTGTTATGCCCAATTATGTTTGTGAAACAGATATTGTACAAAAAAAAAAATCAAGATTGTTGGTGTATTTATCTGTTCTTCATTATTACCCTGTAGATTTATACGTTTGGATGTAACGATGAAGGTGCTTTAGGACGAGATACAAGTGAAGAAGGATCAGAATATGTTCCTGGTGTTGTGGATTTTCATTTTAGGGTTGTACAAATCAGTGCTGGAGACTCCCACACAGCTGCTTTGACTGACGACGGAAAAGTGTTTGCATGGGGTACTTTTAGGGTAAGTTTGTTTATTTAAATTATTATTTATACATGTACATTCACAGGAATCTCACCAGCCCAACCAGAGTGCTGGTCGCTCATGAATATTAATGACCTCATGAATATTAATGAGTTCATGAATATTAATGAGTTCATGAATAATAATGAGCTCGTGAATACCAGTATTGCATTTGAGAAGACACAAATATATTGAATCATTTCGAAATGTTATTTATTTTTTCAGATATGAAATGAGAAATAAGACAAATAATAAAAGAAACATGTCTATTTGATTTTGTTTTATTATTTATTTATCACACCTTTGAATTGATCAAGATGATATACAAGTCAGCCAAGATACCAAAGCATGTGCTATAAATTTGAACAAATTGACTAAATCGAAATAGAATCACCCAACAAAACAAAAGTTGAATGTCATCAGAAATATATACATAATGAAATAATGCAAGTTAGAAATTATTTTAAACACATTACATTTGGAAGCAACACAAATAGAAAGATTTTCAAAATCCACAATTGCTACATTGTACGCTAATTATACTGATACAAATTAACAAGTGTCAAAATATTGTTGCAATGTTTATTGAAAGGTCAAAAAAGTATAAACAGTGGGAAATCAAATTATTGGAGAAGGTAACAAAAATTATGTCTGCCTGGAATGTTTATTTTTACGATCTTATTATTCAGCACTTTATTCTCAGTTTCTTTTTTTTCTGCCCAACGCTTGACAGTACTTGCGAAGTCAAATTGCTCCATGGGTGGGTGGTCCATCGATCGCGATGCGAACCAAACCAACCAAACTTGTTTGGCTGAGGCGATTTCTTGGTACAGTTTTTACAAGTTTTAGTTGCGAAAATGTGCGCTCGGAGTCGGCTGTATGGCATGGTAGAATTCGGTATATTTTCGCTAGTTGTGTGATCGTGGGAAATACTTCTTGGACGAGTGTGGTCTTCCAGAGAATTTAGATGATCAAATCAGATTTTACGTCTTGCTTTAGGATTGATTCGTGTGCACGTAATTCTTGAAATAATTCCATTCGTTGATGGTCGCTGCTGTTTTATCTGGTTCGATTGCTTTCTGTAAAAAATGAAGTACAAGTGATTTCTCACTGCTTCATTGCCATATGTTGAATTGAAATTGCGTAAGTGATCAGGGCTGAAAACACTGAAGTTAGCGAGTGTGCCGACGTCTTCAGCAGGGAATCTTCGTTCCACATTGGCGATCAGTGTGTCGATATACGTTACTCGAACATGGTTGTTGATGTCATTGTCGACTCGTTTTTTAACGGCAATGTTGCTGACCTCCAGTTCCGCAATAATTTCCGGCAACTGCTGGAAATACTGGCAGTTATAGGATTTCAAATGCTGGATTGATGTGATCGTAGACTTCACAAGCAGTTTAATCGAACTATGTTCGAACTCCCGAGCCTGAAACAATTTTACATAGACCGGAAATGTGTGGTAAAATATCACACAGCAATAACATCGTGGCGATGAAGCGGAACGATGAAATTAAATGAAATAATCCTAGAGCTTTTGCATCTCCGCCCTCCTCACCCTCTCTTTCTAGGCTGACAAATACGCTTATTAGAGTTTCCCTCAATCGCAGTACTGACTGGTTTCAGTTTCTTCTGACCCAGAGCTACTTGGACTGCATGGAGACCAGCTGTGCGCACGGCACTGTTATTGTAGAAATCAGAGTTGACGGAGGATGCTGTTAAATTTTTTGACGTAAGGAATAACATTCGCAGACTGTGTCGATGCCAACTGCAAACGATGACCACAACAGTGAATTCCAATAGCTGATGGGGCGAAACCTTGCAGATGCTTCACTACACCGTTGTGTTTCCAAGTCATAACTGCTGCGCCGTCAGTGCCAATACCACACAATTTGCTGAATTCGAGTTCATTGTCTTTGAAGTACGATGTTATGTGTCCCGTGATATTCTCTGCATTCAAAGAGACTGTCGCGACTTCGCCGTTGTTTGATTTCAGCGGTTCAATAAGCTTTAGAGAACGAACACACAAATTGCCGGTATCGTCAATAAATCGGCAATTTAATGTGAGTTGCTCGCTGACACTCACATCCTTGGTTTCATCCAGCATAATAGTGAAAAAGTCTGATTTCTTCATCTGCGATAGTGTGGATTCTTCGAGCTGTTCAGAAATTAAATTTAGCATTTCTTAAATTGAACCATCACTACAATAGGTCACATTCTTTGCAATGTGCAGGTCGTCTTTTACAGAAAATCCAATTTGCGTCAGCAAGTATAATAGCGGCTCAAAATTAGTTACGTGTGGAATGCGTCGCTTGGTCAGAAAATATAAGCACTTGAAAGCCGATGTTATGGCATCTCTGTTGACTTCAGGCTGGATAACTGTAGCGATATTTTGACTGGCTTCCATCAATAACTCAAGTTTGACTGTGTCCTGATGAGCAGATGTCACTTCGTGATCTTTCACGCTGCACAGACGAAGCCGTGTACAGGGAGCCTTGTTCCAAGTTTCGCGACCGAATGGGCGCTTGTCATATTTCTGGCATAATTTACAGTACATGCCTTCTCCACTTCGATAAATCAACCACGATTCTCGGCCTTGTATCCACTCTTTTCGAAACTTCGATGCTTGCTTGCTTTGACGAATAGGACTGTTGATACTAGCATCTGGTTTTGACTTCTTTGGAAATGGTAGCTGGTTTTCTTGATTACTAGTACGGAGCTTGCGTTTTGGTGTAACCATGATACCAAACTTCGACAGAGACATGGTCGTGATATAACTTCGCGAAGAACTGTTGAATTAAAATTTCCTGGAGCAGCGAATATATGGACTTTACTTCAAGAAGACACGAGAGAAGTGAGGCTCTGAGCCGATTTTTATTAGCTCCGCTGTCGACTTTGTCGAGCGGAGCTTATCATATGAGTGATTGTCCGTCGTCGTCCGTGTCAATGTTTTACTTTTTCGACTTCTTCTTGAAAACTACAAGCCTAAATGCTTTGATACTTGGTGTATATGTACCTTGGGTAGACCTCTCTTAGGTTTGTTCATTTCATG